CATCCATCATCCATCATCCATCATCCATCCATCCCTAACTCTTTTCCCCTGAGTATTTTATTGTTGCTTGGGAGCCTGAAGTCAGCACAGGTTTTCAAAGGCAAGAGAAGAACAAATTCCTGACCAATATATCCAAATATCCCAAAGAAATCAATCCTCCAAAATTAGAGCTTGGCTGTAGTGGGAATATCCAGTATTTCATGGACAGCCTTTCAACATGGCAGTTCCTCTGTGGATATAAACTGAAAGAGCACCAAAAAATTCAATCCATTTCAACTTTGGGTGATTTTCCAGAGCCTGCCCTATCCCTATTCCATGGATAGGTGGATTCCAGGGAGGAGGGAAGAGCTGGTGCCTGTCACCTTCCCCGAGCCCTCACTTCCCTCTCTCCAAGTTCCCAGTGCAACAGGTCAAGGATTTTCTTCCCAGTGCCAGCAACACAGGGAATTGTGGAGCGGGATAAATTCCTTATAAATGTGGCTTTGTAGGAGTGCTGGGCCTGAGTGAGGCTCTGTGTTTAATTATTTATGCTTTCTTATATTACCTCGGCATTCCCAGCTCCCAGCCTGGATAAGGGCCCCGTTGTCCCCGGGTTTGGGACACAGCCGTCCCTGCTCCACACCCCGTGGTCAGGAAAACCTTTAAGCACCCTAATGAGACTTAAGTGCATGCTGAAAGTTAAGCCTGGGCTTATCCCCGAGCCCCAGTGAGCTTAGACTGGGAACAGCCTCTTCACAGTCCCCGCTGATAAATGTCGCCTTTATTTATTTTTTAATAATTTTTTTTTTTCCACCTGAAAGGGGTCATTCTTCCCGAATTTGTGGAAGCTACTGTGGATTGGATCCTGCTTTTTAAGGGAAGCCAGTAGGGGACTCAGTTGTACAAATAACTGGACCCTAAAAAAAAAATAAATACAAGGTTGCATTTGGTTATTGGGGAATATTTTTTCTATGTTTCACAGGGAAAAGATGATGGGCCAGGGTAGCTGTGCTGAAATCAGGATGGCTCATTTGGGAATGAACCTTTGGCTGGATATTCTGGAAGCATAATCCTAAATTTTAGTGTTTCTGTGCTTCATGCAGCAACTCTCTCATATCTAACAGAGCTTCCAACCCATCCAGGGATTTTCTGGGAGAAACTGAGCCTGACTCCTGCTCTACCTTTCCTTGATGGGAAGGAAGGGAGGAAATATCTTGGAGAAGCTGTGCTGCATAAAACCATTGGAATCATGGAATCATGGAATAGTTTGGGTTGGAAGAGGTCTTGAGAATCATCCCATTCCAACCCTGCCATGAACAGGGACACCTCCCACTGTCCCAGGGGGATCCAGCCTGGCCTTGGGCACTGCCAGGGATCCAGGGGCAGCCACAGCTGCTCTGGGAATTCCAGAAATTCCCAATATCCCATCCATCCCTGCCCTCTGGCAGTGGAAGCCATTCCCTGTGTGCTGTCCCTCCAGGCCTTGTCCCCAGTCCCTCTCCAGCTCTCCTGGAGCCCCTTCAGGCCCTGCCAGGGGCTCTGAGCTCTCCCTGGAGCCTTCTCCTCTCCAGGGGAACATTCCCAGCTCTCCCAGCCTGGCTCCAGAGCAGATTTCTCTGTTTCCCATGGGATGAGTTGGTCAAAGCCAGTTTCAGTCTCTCAGGTTCCAGCACTCCCCAGCCTTGGAAATCATCGAGTCCAACCATCCCCAGCTCTGCCAAGGCCACCCCTGACCGTGTCCCCAAGTGCCACATCCACAGGGATCAATCCCTCCAGGGATGGGGAGTCCTCCCTGCCCTGGGCAGTTCCAATGTGCAGCAGCCTCTTTCCAGGAAGGAATTTTCCCAATTTCCACCCTGAACCTCCCCTGGCCCATCCTGAGGCCGTTCCCTCTCCTCCTGTCCCTGTTCTCTGGGAGCAGATCCCAAATCCCCCCGGCTGTCCCCTCCTGTCAGGGAGTTGTGCAGAGCCAGAAATTCCTCCTGATCCTCCTTTTCTGCAGGCTGAGCCCCTTCCCAGCTCCCTCAGGAGTTTTCCAGCCCTTTCCCAGCTCTGTTCCCTTCCCTGGACTCTCTCCAGCCCCTCCAGGTCTGTTTGAGCACCCCAGACTGCACCAGTTCAGTTCTCAGATGTGACAGCTCAGCCTTTCCAAGTCTCAGTTACCCCCGAATAATTAAAAACTGCTCCTTCCACCTTCCCCTCACCCGCTCCACCTGGAATTTCGGTGCTGGAGCCCTCGGTCCCCCCTGACCCCGTGTCACCTGTGTTCTTTTGCAGGACTCCCTGCTGTGTTTGTCACAGTGTGGGCCAGCGTCAGAGCCACTCTGGCCGACACAGAGTAAGTCCCGCTGGGTTTCCTTTCTCTGCCTTTTATGTGCAAAGTTTTATGAGATTTATGGGTGAATTCAAAAGGAAAAAGAACCAGGCAAAGCTGGGATTCTACTCTGACGTCATTAACTTTTGGAGGAGGGTGGCGGATGGAAGGGAAGGATGATTTTTCATTTTGCAGGATTCAGTAAATGGGAATACCTGCAGTTGTTGTCCCTGAGGATAAAGGGGCTGTGTCACAGCTGGGCAGGGACAAGACAGAAAAATCCTGAATGAGTGGGAATGAATTTGGGGCAGAGCAGCTGCAGCACAGCCAGAGACGTTTGGTGGTGGTGGGGTGGTAGAACTGTCATTCCTCCATGGATTTTACAATCCCAGAATGGTTTGGGTTGGAAGAGACCTTAAAGCTCATCCCATTCCACGCCCTGCCATGGGCAGGGGCTCCTTGCTCCACTCTCCCATGTTGCTCCAAGCCCCATCCAAGCTTGCCTTGTCCCCAAAATTCACAGCTTGACCACACAAGTCCTGTTCCCAGGATCCTCCAGCAGAGGAATTCCCAAACGGCTTTGTATGGGAATGCCCTTTCCAGAGGGGGATTTCAGCTCCAGGCTGGGATGGGTGGGTCAGCAGAGGGGTGACACAGCAGGGACACCAGCTCATCCTCACAGAGGCTCCCAGGGAGCACCCGTGGCTTTCCAGCCTCGCCTTCCCTGAGGAGCTGGCCTGGGAAAACTGAGCTGCCATGTGGGGCTTACCTGGATCAGACAAGGAAAACCCTGTGGCATTCCTGTCTCCAGAGCTGGAGACAATTCCACCAGAATAATTAATGTCATGGCTTAACTGTACGACTTAATTAGTGGCTTGTTTTTATTTTCTTTTGTCTCTACTTAGAGTTAGGATTAAAAACACGAAGGAGACGAATTTTTGTTTATTACATTTTATCTAAATGTAATTACTAGTGTAATACTTTTAGTTACTAAGTAAAAGCAAGCAAAATGGAGCTGAGTCTGGCTAGTTATGAGGTTTTTTAAAGCTAAATAGTTCAATAAAGAACTAACACTTATATTATTTATACTTTTGACCCAATAACCAAACACTTGTGGCTTGTAGTGTAGAACTGTCTAACTAAAAACTACTGCCTGAAATCATGAGGAAGAAGGAACAAGAAGGAGGAAAGAGACAACACCCAAGAGCCTCCATCTTGTCCCACACCTATTTCTATATTCTAAAACCCCAAATTCCAAACCCTTCACCGTGTGAAATCACACACTTCTATTCAAACTGCACACCAGTGATCCCAACCCCATCACTCAATTTTGGAAACCTTCTCCAAGGCCTCAGGTCACAAGCAGTGTTCTCCTGGGGTCAGTGTCAGAAAGCACAGAAAGCTCAAAATTCCCAGGATTCTGGGTTCCAACAAATTAACACTGGGTCAGCTTTTCCAACGGGTGCTGGAAACTCCTGGGAGTTTCCAGGAGCCCGTCCCTCCTTGGCAGATGGAGGATTGGAT